GGGGAGGAAGGTAAGGGCCCCGTGGGGCCGGCCCCCGCCGCTGCCTCGTCCGGCCGGTGAGGTACCGAGCATCGTTGGGGAAGGGGACTCTCTTTACCTCTGATCGAGTGATTCCTTTCTCATAACCCTCTCAGAGGCAGCACGAACCAGAATCGGAGGCATCGGGCCTGTCTGGAGAAGAAGAAGAGAAAGGGGAGGACAAGGATGAAGACGACGACGACGATGACGACTACCAGCCCTATGTGCCCCTCAAGCAGCGCAAGCAGCAGCTGGTAAAGTGGGACAGGCTGGCGATGAGGGGGAGCCCTTAACAGAAACCACTTGTTGCTGTCTCGCCTCATTGCGCACCTGCCTGGCCTGCGGCCCGATCCTATGCATTCTTGTTTATCGAGGGTTCTCTGATTAGGGTCGATACGCTTATTCCGGTGCCCCTTTTCTCTTGGTTTCTGTATTGGTCCCAGTCTTCGGCCTGTTCCCCGCTGGTCGTAGATTTTCAGAACAAAAGAGGGACCCTAGGTTAGTGGTTCTCCACTGGTAGTCTGCGGAACCTGGGTGAGACTCAGAAATAGGCAGGATGGTTTATCAGAAAAATCACTGATGCTTTAGTTAAGCTTTTAACATTAAATGATAAATATAATAACAAAATGCCAGTAAATGTACATATCTCTTTTTTGAGAAAAGGGGGCTTTTTGTTTCTGTCATGGTGGAACCCAATGTGTTTGGTACAGTGACTGGTGAGAGTTGATAGAATCATTTTGCATAATGCTTTGAAAAGCTTTGCCATATAGTGCTCTGCTTATCCCAAAAGGGAATAACATGATGAGTTCTGTAAATATGTTACAGATGCTCCCAGGTTCAGCTTATGGTCACTCACTCACACTCACAGCCCGTTGAGGCACGTGGAGCTTTTCAGTGCCCCTTGCTTTCTACCTGGGTTTTCCAGAGAGGTGCGGCTAGAGTGGACAAGACACACAGCCTTGGTCAACAGCTGGGAAATAATTAGGGACACACACAAATCACTTCCAACCGAACACTGAGGCACAAGAGGTTCTTTGTAATACACAGAGCCCAGTGAATTTAAAGTAACAGCGCTCTTTCTCACGCACACATGTGCGCACACACACACTCATCCACACTTACCCACGTCCTTCCCAACTAGGCTGCCAGGCACTAGCTAGAGGGACTGAAGCCAAGTCTGATTCAAAGATGACTCAGATGACTCAGAGTGGGCAGGCTTTGGGACCCCTTTTATCCCCAAAAGTCCTTGCTTTGTTGATTTACAAGTTGATGGGATTGGGATGAGGGTTTCCATGTGCTAAGGCCAACTTCTTTTGTCTGGTTCAGGTCCTTTGTTTCCTTAATGACTTGCTTCCTTCTTATCCTCCTTCCCCAAGGGATCTCATAGACAAGATCCCTGGCTTTTGTCCTCTCTGCTTATGAGCCTACTTCATCTTTAGGTTATGGCAGCTTCAGCCTAGTCTCACAATACGAAAGATTGAAAACCTCTGCCCTAGAACAAGATTCCCTATAAAATTGTTGCTCTGTAAGCCAGGTAAATGCAATCAGGCTATGACCCTGTAGATGCCAAGAGGTGCGTCTTTTTGTTACTTTTATAAGATTTATACCCGCTACTGACATTGTTAAAAATATTGTTCTTAAATGTAGCTCACTTAGCACTGGCTTTTTGTCTTATGCTAAATAACTAAAACAGGTATGGGAAACATGTAGTGCATCAGATACTGGATTCCAAATAACTCACCCTAAGCTAGTAATGCCTAATGATTGTGACTGGGAGTAGTTGTTCAGCAACACTTGGAGCAAATCTTCCACCACTGGCTCAGAGTAATGCTTTTTAGTTAGTAAAGAGCATAATATCTAATTACTGTGAGATATAAAGAACAGTGCTTAACACAATGGTTGAAGTATCTGGATAATATACTTCAAGTACTAAGATCCAAGTACTAACTATGGAACTGCAATTCTGCAGTTATTTTGGGCTTTTGAATGAACCTGCTTTGCAAGGCAGTAATATTTCTGTGGACAGTATAATGGTACAAGTTATTAGTGTCACACTATATTGAGAGGTTCCACTAAGTACACCTATAGCAATAGATACCGAGGCTTGAATTAATCACAGCATAATAATAATGTTTTCTTGTAATTTATTTAGAAATATAATTTCAGTACTGCTATTATCCCATTTTAGCAAACATAAGAAAAACCCTGATAGTTCCAAAGAAAAACTAATTTAGTAACATGGACTGTTTCAGAATTTGCAGCCACCTAGAGTCTCTGGGAGTCAGGTGGCATATTATTATTCTCATCATCATCATCCAGATGTCATTTAAATCGTGAGCATGTAACACCCTATTCATGTTCCCTACCATTGATAGTCAGAGGTAATTCTGCCTCTGATTATCATAACACTACATAGCTATGAAATTCTCATTGTAAAATGTAGTGCTTGGTTTCCACCAAAAGTGGAACTTCTCAGGCTGCGTTAATATTGTTATATTTTCTTTTTCTCCTTTGTGGTCATTCAGAATTATTTTTGGGAAATACTCCAGCTATGTTAACCAGATTTGTTCTATAAAATGCATCCAAAAAACCCTCTACAATAAAAACCTTAGTATCATTTATGCATTTAGTGGGAATTTGAACTTAATAGTCTAAATGACTCTCTCTGACTATGTGATTTTAGATTCTCATTCCCCTTGATTGCAACTCACTCCTTTTTTAATATCTGAAGATATATTTCATGTTTGTTGTGAAAAATAAGAAAGTGAAAAGAAAATCTGAATATTTAAAATTATCTTAGAACTAGGGAGAATTGAATAGGTTAGATACATAGAGATGGTGAGTTTGATTGAGAAATAGTTGAGGATACACATCTTCAAGAGGTTTCTAAAGAATATGAGATCTATGTCTGCAAAGGAGCTAGCAGTTAAAGCCTGGCTCTGATGGGATTCTCAAATCGTAACTTTATGCCTTGATGTATGTTTAGCTGCAAAAGTTGCTGCAGATTCGCCGCAAGGGGGTGCTGGAGGAGGAACAAAGGGACAGTGGCAGTGAATATCATGGCGATGAAGATGACATACCCCTGGGCCCTCAGTCTAATATCAGCCTTCTGGATCAACACCAGCATCTCAAAGAGAAGGCAGAAGGTAACAGTCAGCGTGCTTGGTTTGATTTATTAATAGAGAGAAGGTTCTGGGCTAACTATCTGATATGTTACTCTTCCCAGCACGTAAGGAGTCAGCTAAAGAGAAACAGCTTAAAGAGGAGGAAAAGATCCTGGAAAGCGTGGCAGAAGGGCGAGGTAAAGAGCAAAAAATTATTTTCTCAAATATCTTTGGTACTTGGGAAAACAGTGTTGGTGTTATGGAAGATGGCAAAATTGGGCTAGCTGGGAAATAACAGTTAATTGTGAGCATGTAGAGAACAAAAAATGTATTTTACTCCATGCATAAAACAAGCACGTTATGACTTGGAAGTTTGGATGGACCATTCTGAGACGTTTGTGGTCCAGCCAAACTGAAATCCATAACATCTTAGTTATTCCAAGTTTCAGCTGAGACAAATCCAGAGAGGTCTTGCAGGAGAGTAGGACAAAGCTGGTACACCTTATTCCTTGTCCAGATGGCCAGTGTGTCTCCTCCTCACTTGGTCTTTCTGCATCTTCCTTTCCTGTGTCTCCCCTGCTGTGCATACCCAGCTAGTCTTCCTGCCCCCTCTCCCAATTTTCTGTGCCTTTGATTCCCTTATTTCTGTTTAGCTTCTTCTATATGCTGTTACCTCTGTTGAACTTCCCTTTTACTCACTCTCCCCACCCTGAAACACCACTACCTGGACCATGCATATTCCAGATCCATGCCTAAACTGCCTGTTCCATACGCAGAACGATCCACGCATGGAAGGTTTTCTACATCTGTACTGTAAATCATAAGTTCAAGTTATATGGTGCTTCCCAGGGACTTTAGCCTTCTGTTGCTATTGCATGGGATAAAGCAATATTCAAATATGTTGCTTTTTATCTTTTCATGATTGCTGACTGTTGTCTTTTTCTTGTGTAGCTCTGATGTCTGTGAAGGAAATGGCAAAGGGCATCACATATGACGATCCGATTAAAACCAGGTAGATGGTTTGTACAAGACCCTTCTCAAAATATGACGACAGATGTTTCCCTTGAACATTTATTTGTGTTAAAATGCATAAGAAAAGGCAGTGAGGTGCACTTCTGCCTTGGAACAATTGATTCTTGGGTGTGACTTTTTCTCCTTACACAGACAGGTGGGTAGCTATTAAAGTTGTTATGCCACATATAGCATAAGGTGGTAACATGTGGATTGGACATGATAGGACAGTTGGTTGAGTTCTTCTCAAATCTTCTGAGACACGTTGCTTAAAAAGAACTTCAGCCTGAAAGTTACAGTTGATGTTGGCTTGCTAGGAGAACAAGCACTCTGTTTAACAGACTTGACAGTAATTTCTGCTCATAAATATCAGAGCAGAAATTTTAAAATGAAATGATCAGGGTCTTAGATTAATATGTTTTTCTGTGTTTCTGCACTAGCTGGAAGGCTCCCCGGTATATCCTGTCTATGTCAGAAGCACGGCATGACCGTGTGCGTAAAAAATACCACATCCTTGTGGAAGGGGAAAGCATTCCACCTCCTCTCAAAAGTTTCAAAGAAATGAAGTTCCCAGCTGGTAAGTAACCATGTTAGTGATTTCTCTTTCAGTGCTTTTTTTCTCCCACTTCACCCACATTGCCTACCTGGCTGACTCTGTTTTCCCACCCTTTTCTATTCTGATTGGGTGTTGCTTTTTCTTCCAGAGGTGCTCCACAGTATTCATTTAGAGTGCAGAAAAGGTGCAAAGAGAGCATTTTCAATAGCAGCATTAATGGTGGGTCCATCCAGTGGGCCATGGATTTGCCATCAGGCTTTGTCTGGGAGTCTTCCATGGCTATGGGCTAAACCACAGATGCAGGTTGAGACCCAAACAATGCTAATTGCAGTGGCCTATTTAGTAGACTCCCCAGCCCCTTTGCGAAGAATAATAAACAGCATTCTGGTCAGACTTTGATGTACTCTCTAAATCTGTCAAATAAATAAATAATCACACATGCTGATGATGTGAATACGTGTAGTCCTCACTTGAGAACCGCAGCTGGAACCAACAACTGTCGCTAAGCGATGTGATTGTAAAGTGAAACATCACATGACCACACTTGGCTTATGACAACAGTTCCGTTGCAGTTGTTAAGTGAATCACCTGCGGTTGTTATACATGACATCACATGGCTGTGACTTGCAACTTACTGCCAACTTCCCTATTGACTTTGCTTGTTGGAAGCTGGCTTTGAAGATCGCAAATGGCAATCATGTTACTGCGGGAAGCTGCGACTGTTGTAAATGCATGCCGGTTGTGAAGCGCCTGAGTTGTGATCATGCAACTGCGAGGATACTGCGACAGCCATAAGTTCGAGGACTGGTCATAAATCTACCTTTTCAGTGATGTACAGTAAGTTCGAAAGGTTGCTGAACAAGGCAGTTGTTAACTGAGGATTACCTGTATTTCTGTTCACAGAACTTACCCCTCTCCTTTGGGAGGGGATAAGGAATGGGATCCATCATTAAGTTTATGTATTCAAATATTTTATCTATCTGTGGACTCAGATGAAACTGGGAGCAACTGCTTTTAAACATTGCTTCACCTTTTCAATAGCATGGAGATAGTAGAGCCTAGTTTTCTGCATGTCTGTTCAGTTCCCCGAATTGATAGGTATGTGAGCTTAATATTGTTGGCATTAACATTTAAAGTAGAAAGGAACTCTGAATTAACTGGTCTTGAACTTTGTTCCACAGTGTTGAAGCCATATAAAAGAGATCCTGTTAAATATTTGCATAGTTTCTATAGAATCCCATGAAGAAATCTTGAGCATTTTTTTTTCTATAGACCTCGAGTAAATTCAGATTAGCATTACAAATGCTGAACTGTGTGATTGGCCCAACCAAGAATTTCCAGATAAAAATGTCTTTGGGCATACATATTAGAAAGACTGCGAAGTGTGGATTTGAGTGTTCAGATAGTCAGGCATGTATACTTCCCTTATTTTGAAACACAAATAAATTAGCAATTTATAGTATGTGCAAAGTCTTTAAAACATGTACAGTCTTTGGGTCAAGACCTAGTTATCTAGTTTGCAAAGCATTCAAGACCTACTTTTGTATTGCCAAAAATAAGCTGAATTTCTATTTGAACTAATGTGTTTATTTAATCAGAAGGCACTTCCTTCCAGGCTAATAAACTGTATACATTGCCACAGGAGACAATGAAACTCTAAGCCTACCTCTTCCATTGGATAAACATGTAGCATAAGACTGTAGTCCAGAGAAAGGGGGTGAGGGCAGACAGGGTGTTGAAAAGGGTTGTAAAGCTGTTTCCTTTGGAGGTTAGCGCACTGGTGAATACCTCTGTTGTTTCAAGAGTTCTGATAATTGATCTCACGTATCATTTAAAGATCTATCTTCAGATGTTAGGAAGCCCACGGAACCCATGAACCCCCACACTCCGTAGTACTTGTCCACGGCACCCCCGCACTACCCCACAGCACTCACGCACCCCCCACACACACACTGCTTGCCTGGGACTCCTGCCACTTCCCAGTTAAGGACCCACACGATCCTGGGGTTATGACAGCAACTGGGACTGCTGGGATTTCTGTCGCTAAGCAATGTGGCCACGTGACGCCACACTATACAACCACATCACTTAGCAATGGAATTTCTGGTTCCAATTGCTGTCATAACCTGAGGACTACCTGTATCTGTGGCACCAGGGGTAGCTGCTCATCAAGGGCTGTAGCTCAGGCACTGGCAAGTTGACTGCCAGTCCAGGGCCAGTCTGACATTGAAGCCCTTCATGGGCAAGGAGTTGTTTGGAGAGTTCATTGACACACTGCTGGTGGTGATTAAGAATGAAAAGAACTATCTGCTTTCAGTAAACAAGAAAAAAGCCAGATGCCACCAGAGGACACTGCTAGTCTTTTTCATTTTGGAGGTAGTCAAGAAAGCAGTTACTAGGGTCAACGGGATCTACAGGGCAGACATTTTAACGGTGTCAGAGTCACAAGGTTCAAGCCCCAACTGAAAAGAACATAAAATTGATGCCAGAGAACAGCAGATGGGCGGATACCTACAGCAATTTTGGGCCACGTGGGAATAGGCATGCAGAGACAAGTTAGTCCTTGGATCAAGTGGGGATATGCTCCAGAGTTCAGATTAAAGCCAGAAAACAAATTTCTACCATCACCAACATCCAGAAAGTCAGAATTACATCAAAGGATGCATTCAAGCAATAGACCAGGTGCATCACCATGAGTGATTTACTGGCCCATTCTTCTTGTTCATGATCCCAAAGAAAATAAATCTGGAGGACTGTTTTGAATTTGAACCCATTGAACAGATTGATTAAATACTGTATATTCAAAATGGAGACATCTGCCAAATGGTTTCCTGGCTTCCATAGACCTGTCTAATGGATATCTTTACATCATCGTTAGAGTGAATCACTACATGCTTCTCGGGGATGTTTCAATTCAGGACCCTTCCATTTGATCCTGCTTCAGCCCTGGTAGTCTTCACAAAGATAATCATGGCCCTAATCAGAAGCGTGAGAATCCAACAGGTTCATATCTATGCTTACTTAGATGATTTACTACTCAGAACTCACAAGGGAGCAAAGAGGAACATATATCAGACCACTTTATGTTTATATAAACTTGGGTTTATGGTAAGTTGGAAAAAGTTCTCTCTCTGGCCTTCTAGATGGTTGTATGGGGGTGGATCATAAGAAACACTCTGAAAATAATATTTCTGCCTCAAGAGTGCAATGGATCCAGGTTCCAATTCAGGAAATACTAGTATTCAGGAAGAACCTTCTCATGGCCTTTGCAAGTTTATAAGGAATTATGATTATGACTCAGAACTCAGTTCCTTGGATGAAATAATAATGCAAGACTACCCACTATAATGGTTTCTAGTTCTGTTTCAGAAGCAGGTTATTTTAAATTCAAGTTTAATTCTGAAGGTCCCAAGTAAAGTAGTCACCTCCCCTTGGTGGTGGTGAGCATCAACCAGCTTGTCAAGGAGAATGCCCTCTTGAGACCCTTAGAAGGACCAAATCACCATGGATGCCAGCCTGTTGAGCTGGGAGCTCAATCATTCATCTCAGGAGCTAGTCCAAGGAGGAGTCTTGCCTTTCCAACAATCACCTGGAGTTGAGGTCAGGGCGGCTAGCATTAGAAGACTGATAGAAGGGAACCACATTCTAATTTGGACAGTCAATATCTGCACATAAGCATACCTGAACAGGTATGAAGCAGGGAGAAAGTTGAAGGGACTGCAGATGGAGGTTTCTCTCCTGTTTCTATGGGCAGAAAGACTCATGCCTTCCTTTCAGTGGAGTGTATACAGTAAAGTGGATGTAGAATGTGTCTGCAGATTGAGTAAATAAAATCCCTGTCACAAGCAGAGCAGATTCTGTACTCAGAAATGTTTTAGGCAGTCGTGGATTAGTGGAAAGTCTCTTTGCAACAAAAAAGAACAGGAAGGTGACCATGGTTTTCTCTAATTCCCACAACGTCAGGGTGGAAGGGACCAAAGCTTTGATCTCTCTTTGTCCACAATACCTATTATATGCATTCTCACCTGCCTCAATTTTAAGGTGAGATGCAAGGTAAGAATGATAGGTTCCCTTTTGGCCCAGGAAGTCTTGGTTCTTGACTCGGGTCAAAATAAGCTTCTATGACACCTTCCAGTGTAGCTGAATCTTCTGAGCCAGGATCCCATCTTATATCCAGACCCAGGTGGCTTCATTGGAACTTAAACAGCAGTAGCTCTTAAAAACTCTCTTCCCAAAGCAGCAATAATGACCCAACTTAGCAGCCAGGTTACCAAGCATGATTCATATGTACAATTTGAGATGAGTAGCTTTTCTTCATTGGTTCAGGAGGAAGAAGTTGTCTCTGAGAGTACCAGGAGTTTCTCAAATGACAATGCTATTGGATCCATACTTTGGAATGAGCAAAGTTAAACATTTTCTTACAGGGGCCAGACTAATTTTCCATCCTGTTATTCATCACTTTCCTTGGTGGGCGTTATCTTTAGTATTGAGAGCTCTAGCAGTAGTTCCCTTTGAACTCATTAGAACTTGCTTTTCTTGTGATGGTCACTTCAGCCAGAAGTGTCTGAGGGCTCTATTGATTGGGGGAGCTTCATGTGTTTTTCACTCAGGTCAAATAGTATGGAGGCCTAATCTTTTTTTTTTCCTCTTTAAGCCTAGTTTAAGATTCCGTGGGAGTCAGATATAATTTTACCTAACTTTTGCTGAAATCTCAATTATTCCAGGGAGAGAGTTTGGTATAAGTTGGATATACGAAGATATTTATGCATGTATCTGAAACACAATCTTAGGATCAAAAGACAGGAAAGCTTTTTGTCTCATATAAACGCGGGGGGGGGCTCCTGGAAAACAAGTCCTCTGTTAGTAGGTAAATCAAGGATTGTATTGTCCCAGCCAACTAGGCGATATAGGAAAAGTGCTGACCCAGTGCCAGGAGGCCATCAACATCTGGATGGTGGAGGAACAAACTCAGACTGAATCCCTCCAACATTGAGTGGGTTTGGCTCTGTGGGCCAGACAGTTCCATAGTTGTACCATCTTGGCTCTGAACAGAGTTGTACTCCCCTACCCAGAGGTAGTCTACAACTTGGGGTCCTCCTGGCTCACAGCTCTTGCTCAAAGAATCAGTGGCAGTTATGGCCAAGAGGGCTTTTGCACAGCTCCATCTTTTGTGCCAATTGCAGCTGTTCCTGGGCTGTGGAGTCCTATTCAGAATCACTGATGCCCTAATCACTTCTCATTTGGATTATTGTAATGTACTCTATATAAGATTGCCCTTGAAAAGCATTTGGAACTACAGCTGGTACAAAATGCATCGGCCCAGGCAGTTACATGTATTTCCCATTATACTTGGGTGACCCTGGTGTTTTGGGAGCTGCATTAGCTGCCAGTTGGCTTCTTGGTGCAATTCAGGGTGCTGGTTGTCACCTTTAAGGAGCTACATGGCTCCAGATCAGGTTGTCTTCTGTATTAACCTGCCCACCCAATCAGATTGAATGGATCACTGCCTCTAGATCCTGGCTGTTTGAGAATGCTATCTGACTGGGCCTAGAAAATGAGCAGTTTATATTGCTACAAAGATCTGATCTATTTCTTCCTTCCTGGCTTTTAGGAGAGCAGTTAAGATCTGGTTTTTCTATCTCTTTAAGCAGATTGATACAGTTTTGTTCTGAGGGATGATGTCTAGGCGTGAAGATTTTGTAATGTACTGGACCTCTGCACCAGAACACTGAAAAAGGCCCTTGCCATTGAGCTAGTAGTTTGTGATCTCATTTGTGATCTTGTTTTCTTTATTGCAGTTAAGTATTTATTAACTGTTGTACAGTATAATAAAGTCTGTAAAACTGGTGGTTCTTGTAATTGAAATAAATAAGCAATTGAGTTGGAAGTGGCTACCTCCATAGAAAGTAGGAGTTTTAGTCCTGCCTTCTAACTGGAAGCGGTGGAGTTAACCCTCTCATTCAAGGTCCTTCTTCGAGTGGTCAGAATGGCACCTCCAATTTATGTTTTGATAGATTTTGCCAAATCCAGAATATATGTAAATCAGTGATAAATTCATATGTTGTATCACTTTTTAAATTATTGTGAATGAGGTTATTGGAGGGTTGCTACCATTACTTTCATGAGTGTTTTAGAAATAGCTAATGATAGATGTATGCCATTCATATTCAACAGGATAAATGTGAATGACTTGTTGAAATGTCAGCATAAAGAGTACCCCAAGTCTTCCTGTCCTTGTTCTGGAGAGATGGTGGTTATAAACTCTGTGTTCTGATCTACTTCCCTTTGTTTACTAATCTGTTACCCAATTCTTCTTCCAGCAATACTGCGAGGCTTGAAGAAGAAAGGGATCCAGCAACCAACTCCTATCCAGATACAGGGTATTCCCACCATGTGAGTGTTGCAAGAGTACTGTCAACCTGCTTCAGATAGGTCACTGCTAAGCATTACGCAAAAAATGTGAAATTTTGTACTAATTGTGCTTTCCCCTCTCACTGCATTGCCATGGTAAATCCATAAAGAATCTGTGACACTTTAAAATCTTACAGATTTATTGTAGCAAAAGTGATGGGGTCCATTTTATCAGGTATTGGCAAAGCTGAACCTCTGGTTCAGACTTTTTTTTGCCACAATAAATATGTGGGATATTTGATGCTGCAAGACTATTTGCTGCAATCCTCCCCCTTGAAATCTGGAGCTTGTGGAAAGCTGTGAAGAGCTGGCTTTTCCCCCAGGCGCTGGGATAGTGAGGTTGGAGCCCAGAGATTACATAGATGAATGGATCCAGATGATGGATTAGGCACCTGGTTTTTCTTGGTCTTTGCTTTATTTTATCGTTTGTGATTTTATCGTTGTTAGTCATCCAGAGTTGTGCTCACAGGAGGGGCGGCCTTATAAATCATTTAAATAAATAAATCAATTTAGCACTGCAAGTATCTCTAAGCCCTTTTGGCTGAAATTAACTAAAATGCTACCTTTCGAATTAGCTTGCATCACACCGTTATAGATAAGATGCCACAGTTTGAAACAAAGCATTAAATCAATAGCAGTTGGAACAATAGAGAATTGCATATTGAAAAGTAGTCTTGCCTGGCAGAATTTAAGGTCTTTGGATGCATATGATACTTAACCTGGTCTGAAATCTACGTCTTCAAAGGCCATTGCCAGCAACTTAAACTGGGCCTCAAAATGAATAATAACCAGTATAATTGATGCAGTATATAAGTTCTGCATGAGCCTCCGCTTCCCCCCACCCCACCATTTGAAAGGTTGCATTCTGTACCAGCTGAACTTTCTGAATGGTCTTTAAATGGAACTCTATGTAGAACATATTAAAATAATATAGTCTGTAAGAAACTAGGGCAATTGAAACTAAGGCAAGCTTAATTTTCTCTAGATAGGGTACAGTTTGTGCATCAAGCTAATTCAAAAGATGGTATTTTCTAGATAGAGTGCAGTTTGTGTACCAGCCAAAACTATCACTGGCACTACTATTCAGTAATACCACGAACGCCATTACAAATTGTATCAAGTCCAACAGAATCCCTGAAATGAAGATCTGGAAGAGAATCATTTGCATATTATTATTTTGGAATTGTTTATTAAGGACCGAGGAATGCAGAATGTGGACAAAAGTAGAGATGAAGAGGCTGAGAGCCATGTAGATGGTCTGCACTCTTTGTTTAGTAAACTAAATAAGCTTAACACATAGACTATTGAAAACCTCGGTTCTTCCAGTTCCTTCAGACTTTCTAAGTTGTACGTCCTTTTGAACACATTTCTAAATTACTGTAAAGCAGTGGAGGCAACCTATGGGCCTCTAGATACTATTCGATTTCTCGCCTTCCACCAGCTTCAGGCAAGGCCAGACCTTAGGGTTGGCAGGAAGCTGTGTAGTCCCTTCAGCATCTGGAGTCTAGAAGTATAACATGTTGTCATAGTCTGCAGTGCGTGGCAGTTCAGCTCTCCACCTCCCTGGTCAGTGCACCTGAAAGCAGCTTTTGTAGCCCTGTTTGTTCTAACCGCAGCAAGTGCTTCATTTGCCCCTTTGTTTTCCTCACAGACTTTCTGGTAGAGACATGATTGGTATTGCCTTCACTGGCTCTGGCAAAACCCTTGTGTTCACCCTCCCAGTTATCATGTTTTGCCTGGAGCAGGAAAAGAGGCTGCCATTTTCCAAAAGGGAAGGGCCATATGGGCTCATCATCTGCCCCTCAGTAAGTCACCTGGGTTTCGCTGTGCTTGTGCATTTGACATGGGGAGAGGTTTGGGCCAAGAAAAAGATGTGAGCATCGGCTTAGGGATGTCAGTTTTTGTTTCTGCAGAGGGAACTGGCTCGACAGACTCATGGCATCCTGGAGTACTACTGCCGTCTGCTGCACGAGGATGGGATGCCTGCCCTGCGCTGTGCTCTTTGCATTGGCGGCATGTCTGTGAAAGAACAAATGGAGACTATCAAGCAGTAAGGGCAACATTTGAACAATGTTTGAAGCAGAGTTGCTGCATTTTTCTTGTGTGGGTGTTAAGGAAGCAAAGGCTGCATTCAGTTTCTTTGTCTAATATGCTTTCTTCCCATCCCTACATGGCATAAAAGAGCTTGTGGTTTCATTGTCAATAGTACAGGCCTGTTATTTTTCAACTACAGAAATTCCCCTTTTAAAAAGATTTTGATCTGATGTCACTGATATTGGCTACACAACCTATCTAAATTACTCTGGTTCCTGGCTTGCTGGGAGTCCAGAGCAAAAGCCACATTCATCTCTCTTCTACATTCACTGTTTAAAGGAGGAAACCACAGATATTTCTACATGCAAAAATAGGTAGTGGGTTGGTGGGATGCATGCAGATACCCATTTACATGTATCATCCTGCCCTCGCATCAGCTTGCTGTGTTTTCACCAGGATTGCTTAAAAAGAAAATCTGTGGGGCATATGTGGAACAGAATTACTGGTTCTTCCACTGTTATAGGCAGTGATCTTGGATGATATCACTGGGAGGGAAAGAAAGCTTTATTGTTTAATGATCCTGCTCTAATGGCATCTTGGGAAGTAGCAATCTGTTCCCATCATTTAGGACTTGATCTGCTGAATGATGGTGAGAATAGGAAAGGCCCCCAGAGGCCTTGTAGCTATAAAAACTAGCCAAGGGCTATGTAGCTATAGCATTTATGGAATACAGTTTCCCCGGGTGAGATATAGATGCTTCAGGAGGGAATAACCATATTTTACTCTATGTTACTGTTATTGTTACTAGTACAGAGCCCTCTCCAATGTTCTAGTCCTTCTGTTCCCACAGTGGTGTACACATGATGGTGGCAACCCCAGGCCGTCTGATGGATCTGTTGCAGAAAAAGATGGTCAGCCTGGATGTCTGCCGCTACCTGGCTTTGGATGAAGCTGACAGGATGATTGATATGGGTTTTGAAGGAGATATCCGCACCATCTTTTCCTACTTCAAGGTACCAGGCAGGGCAGACTTTGCTCCAAACCTGATTCCAGTAAACCCTTGAGCATTTGTACAATTATTTTCCTCTCAGCCTTATGTGTTTTCTGGTACCGGAGGTGTGGCTGATGACAGCAGCAGTGTTCTCCTTGTCTAGATAAAAACGTTAGGCTAGTATGAGAGATAAGATTTGATCTGCACCTATTAGGATCTTATTCGTCTGTTGAATGTCTCTACTTGTTGGCCTTATAACTCATATAAACCTGACAGAACATTAGACTAATTGGAAAGATTGCTAGGCAGATTTGCAATCTGGCACATGTGCTCCTTTTAGAAATCAGGCATTGAGTGGGTAGAAACACAGATGTCTGAATAATATATTGTGAACAGCTATTTATCATGTAAATTCTCAATTATCAGAGAGAAGAACCATCTTCCATGAGAACATAGGGCAAAATTTAATTTTCATCCTGCCTCTTGAGATAATTCGTCTCTTAGCTCTGCCTTCTAGGAAGAGCAATTTTGTTCTGTTTTTTTTTTCGTGCAGAGGCTAAAAGGAAAGAAAAATATGTTTGAATCTACTCTCTTCTTCCCTCCCATCATGGATTAGCCAACTAAGGAAAGAACTACAAAATTCAATCTTTTCTGGCAGCTATCCATACTGTGTCCCTTCACTATTAAGTCTTTTTTTCACAGCATATCAGGAACCATATTAGGCTGTCAAATAACTTTTATTTTTTTTTCCTGCTTGGTCATCAGTTCAAGGGTAACCTCTTCTCAAAACCTTTCCTTGCTAGAAGGATCTTCAGCAACCCATTCACCCCAGTCCTCTTGGAAAACAAGGATAAAAGGTCTTCTGGGACTAGGCAGTAGGTTCAGACATGCATTGCTCGGGATTACTAACTTACTGACAATCTTATTCCAGCAGGCATCACACCCCATTTTGTTTAGGAGCTGCTACTTCCATAGTTCTAGGAACTGTAGTACACCTTCTGGAGACTTGTAGTGCTGCTTCTGGGGTCAGTTCCTCCACATTTATCAAACATTAAATAGATAAATTGCTCTTCACATAGTTTTGCAAAGGATTCTTCAATCTGTTTCTTCTGTCCAGTGGGGTTTGGAAAAATACTGTTATAATACATCCGCTTTTGTTCAGCTCCATTTTAACATGGATCATCATGGATACTAAAGTATTGTACCATGATAAAACTCTTGTGTAAATCACCCATAGAAAGTTTGTCAACAGTTAACTGCCTAATAATAAATAGTATTAGCCTATTATCATTCTGTATATATGTTTATATTATGTATTTTCAGTAATTTTTCTGTGGGTAGCAAGGGGAAGAGGGGTAACAGAATTATATTCAGATTTTTCCTGACTTCAGTTAACTCTAAAGGGTATATTTCCAACAAACAAGATCCAGAGAAGTGTTCAGGAATAAATTTTGATCTTTACCAGGAACAACTTATGTCTCTGGAACAGGGGCCTAGTTACACACTGAGAATCCTGCAGATGGTTGCACAGTGATGAAAATGTGCTCGTTATTAATGGCTTCTCTGTGAAAGTTCTGGTCTATTGGATGATTTGCTTTATATAATATGATGCTGCTGATGGGAAGACCTCTTACTGATCTACTAGTTGTTATTTTTCTCTTTCTCTGAAATTGCCACCCTCTTTATTAGCAGTGCACCAAACTGTGTGTCAGGATCCACCCAACATTAGCAATGTCCATTATATTCTGGCACAATTGGCTAATACTTCTTGCCTTGTTTGCTTTTTTTTTTTTTTTTTTTTTTTGGTGCTGTTAGCAGTTTTCAAGGGGATCTGTCCCTGTGATAAAATGGACAGGGTGCTGGATTTAGGTCTAAGATCCAAAAAAAAACTGAAACTCCCTCAGAAATTCTTAGGAAAAAATTGACAGGGGGTTTGGGGGGGATAGATGCTTTTTTTTTTTTTTTTTTTTTTTTTTGGTGCTGTTAGCAGTTTTCAAGGGGATCTGTCCATGTGATAAAATGGACAGGGTGCTGGATTTAGGTCTAAGATCCAAATATAAACTGAAACTCACTCAGAAATTCTCAGGAAAATATTGACAGGGGGTTTGGGTGGGATAGATGCTTTTTTTTTTTTAATTGTCACTTTCTGCTGGAAAAGGAAAATTAAAACAGTTTACTTTTCTGAACTGTTCTGTGTCTTCGTTTGTATGGCAGGAACTGGTCACCAAGGTAAATTGAACTCTGTGTAGGTAATAACTTATTTCATTGATTAAAAATAAATGAAGGGCAGTGGAAATGAGTGCACTTCTCACTACCCTCCATGAGTTGGAAGCTGATCATTTGCAAATATGAATTCCTCTTAGCTCCCACCCCAAATTAAAGAAGAGTTTTCTAGGGTTCTTTATCATGTACAGAGGCCACATGAACATACAAGGGTCTCCACTATAGTAATTAGTTTCCAGTGCATGGAGCACAATCATGATGGTAGGAACAACAGCGTTCTTCACCACATGAATATAGTTATAACACAGGCCTTGACAAAACTTGATCCATACCATTTTCATTAACATACTAACATTAATAAGAAAAGGCCCATCAGCTCAAATGCAACCTCAGTGGGAACATCTGCCTATGAAATACTACATAGCAGAAATAAAGTACCATACTTTTTGATTTGTGTATATTTTGTACATTTGTTCTGTTAAAGGAAGCTGAATCTGTATGCTATGCAAATTAATTGATGTGTATTAAATGATTTGTCTTTCTACACATTATTTGGAAGGCCAAAAAGCTACGTGAGGCACTAAGCCCTTTTTCTTCTGGCCATTAGAAATTCTACCACCTGTTGTTTCTCTTTCCTCTGGTATCTCCCTTCTAGCATATGAGTTTTTGCCAGGCATTATTTATGCCTTTTCAGACTTACTTTCTAGAAATATAAGATGAGATTCTCAGTGCTCTCAATTGTTTGCCTAGTAGAAATGTTGGTCTTCATTTATTCAGACTTGCAAATGCCTATAAAATATATCCTGTGACCAGGTCTGGAAGCAGAATTTTTACAGTATGGCATCAACAAAACAAATTGTCCATAATTGCTTATTTACCATTTGTGATTCTCTTTTCCTCTTAGGGTCAAAGACAGACCCTTCTCTTCAGTGCCACTATGCCCAAAAAGATTCAGAATTTTGCAAAGAGTGCCCTTGTAAAGCCTATCACAATCAATGTGGGGCGTGCAGGAGCTGCCAGCTTGGATGTCATACAGGTGGGTCACTAGTTTAGACAACTTCCTTGGCCTGGGTCTGTTTGTGTCTTAAACTGTCCTGTATAGGGAGTCCAAATTGTAATGAACTGCCTTTGAGTTCTTTAATCTGTGAGTGTTGGGTAGGAGAGATCTTAAAATGTTCTATTAATTCATTCTTATATAATTAATTCATTATATAATTCATTATAACATCCTGTTCAGCCACACTACCCTTCATCCATGCATAGAGGTCTGAAGCTTGGTTTTTCATATCTATATTCAATACTTCAGCATACCGATCTGTTGAGCCCTAGTGAACCATCCTGTGCTGACTTCTCTGTAGTCTCTTTAACTATGTCTCTCTGATTCTATCTAGGAAGTAGAATATGTGAAGGAGGAAGCTAAGATGGTATATCTACTTGAATGTCTACAGAAGACTCCCCCACCTGTAAGTTCAGACCCATCTTGTGATCACTCCCAGTCTTCTTGCCTGAGTTCTCTGTGCTCGTCATAGAAAAGGAAGCAGTGTTGTGCGAGAACAATGTGATTTTTGGCTGCTCAGTCATGTGTATTTCATCTTGTTTTTGAAATAGACTCTCCCTTTGATTAAGGGACTGCAGTACAAGCTTCCTTCAGGCATCACTTAGGTACTAGTACGTTTGCTTTTCTTTGGCAGGTTCTTATTTTTGCTGAGAAGAAAGCAGATGTAGATGCAATTCATGAATATTTGTTACTCAAAGGTGTGGAGGCTGTGGCTATACATGGTGGAAAAGGTCTGTAAAACTCTTTATTTAAAAGTACTCCTCTGGTCCCAGACACAAAATGCAGTAATCTGAAAGGCAGCAGAAACTGGATGTGTGAAAATTTTTCTGGCTTGCTATGGTTAGACTTAGATTTTTATTTTTATTTTTATTTTTATATAAATATAAATATAAATATAAATATAAATAAATAAATAAATAAATCTCCCTGTCAGCCATAGAGCTCTAGATTAACTGGAAGACAGGATTTCTTTTAGATCACAGAACCGCAGTGATATGGTAGGAGGCATGGCAAAGGTTAGAAAAAGATCTAGAAAAGATTCAAGCAGGAGCTCCTGCAGCTTTATCAGATCTTTAGCGGGTTCTTAGTATTGCCTGTGAACCTCAACACAAATTATTAAACCAGCTTCGGCCAGTAAAGCCGTTCACTCTGGCGTTTCATAAATGTGCCCATGAAGATAATGGCTCTTTTGTTCTAGGAGTGTGAATCATCCTCACAGAGAATGCTTCTAGATTAGGGGGAGGGGAAACCCTACTGTTGTTGTTAATGCATTATTGCATCTTGCAGACCAAGAGGAGCGGACAAAGGCTATTGAAGCTTTCCGGGATGGCAAGAAGGACGTTCTTGTTGCAACAGATGTTGCCTCCAAAGGCTTGGATTTCCCAGCCATCCAGCACGTCATCAATTATGACATGCCTGAGGAAATAGAAAATTATGGTATGAAAAAGAGGGGCTAGTTTGGTCTGGAGGATTTCGGTCACCACGTTCACCTGCTGGAATCCTTAAATGTGTGGAGAATTTCTCCAGTGTGACAAAAGCGATATTAAAAAACAATATTTTGAGTGGAAAAACTGTTAATCAGCAGGATTTGGCTTACTGCTCCGCTGCAGATGTTTTATATATACAGTATGTGAGTTCTAAAGTCAGGTCAGCTAAATTAGGATAGCAGACAACTGCTAGCTTTTCCTCTTCTCAATTTTTTGCCTGGCTCACCTATCACTGTATCTTTTAGCTGAGAAGCATTCAACAAATGAATGGCTGGGAGATGCAAATGGCCACTGGTTGAGGAGCTGTGGAGGATGCTTGAAGATTAGCCTCTCTGGCTGATTTGGGAGGAGTGGAGTTAATCCCTGTTGCTAGTGAATTTGAATTCTTTTTGTGGCACCTAAACAGAGCTGCTTACAGGGGCAAGTGATGTCATCTGCATCATTGTGCAAATAGTGTGAATTATGTTATTGGCATAATAATAATAATAATTTATTGAACTTGAATGCTGCCTGACTCTCAGTAACTTTGGGCAGCTCATGATAATCAAACAAAGAAATTACAATCAAATCAATAAAACATAAAGATAAAAGATGGCAAGCATGATGAAGCAAAGGGTCTCACTGTCCCTCGCCAAAGGCATGGGTGAAGAACCAGGTCTTCACAGCTCTTTTAAACAATGCCAGATTGGGGCCATCTCGATCTCAGGGAGAACCTCGTTCCAGAGGGCAGGCACTGCTGTAGAGAAGGTGTGCTTCTGGGATCCTGATAGATGACCTGGTTTAATTGAAGGAACCTGGAGCATGTCAACCTTGCAGGATTGAATCCGCTGGTCAGACATTATGGGAGACGGGCGGTTCCTCAAGTAACCAGGCCTTACACCATGTAGGGCTTCATTGGTAACAACCAGTGGTTTGAATTGCACCCAGAAGCAAACCGGCAACCAGCGCAGCTCACAAAGCAGAGGTATTACACGGGCATGCCCATTACTGCTTGTGCCACTGCATTCTGAACCAGTTGAAGCTTCTGGGTGGTCTTCAAGGGCAGCCCCCTGTAGAGTAAGTTGCATTAGTCAAGCCACGAGGTGAGTGACTGTCTGAAGCCTCCCCCAGTGCAAATTAGATAATCCACATTATTTGAATGAAAATATCATGATGTGTGTGACATCACTGTGAATTACTGGACACTTGTGACTTCTCTCTACTTTCTTTTGTTCTCCAGTTACCTTTTCTCCTCATATCCATCCATTTTTGTTCCCCCCTTTCTTTTTCCTTCCCAGTATCCCTGCTCCTTCCCTTTTTTCTTTTTTGCTGTTTCTGTTGGAAGAAGAAGGGGAATTTGAGTGTGTGAGAGAGAGGGTATCTTGTTTTGCCCACAGCTTATTAAACCAGTACTTATGAATTCAGTTAATTGGTATGGGCAGTCTGACCCTGCTTTTATTTGGAGTGTGGTTTCTGGGGGGTATATCTACCTATATATATGCACATGTGCAAGTGTGTCACATGCATACATTATTATTGGGCAGTGGGAGGGACTTTCCAGGATTGCTTTCAGTGGATATGCTTAAATTGACATGATGGGGAAGCTGAATAGGAGTTTGGACTGTTTTTATACTTATTTCCCCCGTCTGCTGTATTTTGCTTTGGTGAGGAGGCATAATCAAATCATATTTCTTTTGGGTAAAAATGGTATATGTGTCTGATTTTGTCCTCCCCAGTTCATCGGATTGGGCGTACAGGCCGCTCAGGGAATACTGGCATTGCCACCACTTTCATCAACAAAGCCTGTGGTAAGAAACTGAGAAGGACAGTTATAAAACCTGGGCTGTGAGGAACGGAGCCAGAGGAGGGAAGAGGGTGAAGGATGAATGAACTTCAACTAATTATATTTTTGCCAGCTGGGCTAATCCAGTCATGCTTCCTAATGAGTCATTAAGGAAAAAGAATATTCTAGGGAGCTGGGATATGGACAGTGGGTGGCTTGGGTATGTCACAAGAGCTTTTCTGATGGAGATAGCTCCTGTAATTGAAGTCCATTTGTGCTTTATCTGAGAAATTGGCCTTTGTTCACATGGCTTGTCTCTTGGTCCCTAGACGAATCGGTGCTCATGGACTTGAAGGCGCTGCTGCTGGAGGCCAAGCAGAAGGTGCCTCCCGTGCTTCAAGTGTTGCATTGTGGAGATGAATCCATGTTAGTTATTGAAGGTAAGCAGTTAGTTCATACATAGCAGGATGAGAGGAGGCCTGGAAGTCTGGGGGAGACTAGAGTAGTTTTTACTGTTGAGATAATTCAACCTTTAGCATGGCTGTGTTAGGTAAAAGCTTGTGGAAATTATGGTCATTTGCCATTCAAAGTGATGAAAGGATTTATCTGCCCAGTGGCCTCATGAAAGAGAGAAAGAAATAACTACTATGCAAATGAGATGGGAGCCAGGTGCATTTTTCACAAAGTGTGGAAGGTTTTTAAGTCACATTACGGATATAACATAGGCATGCCTTGTGGCTGAGAGCTGCGTAGGCAATATTTCTACTTCTCCCATGTTGTATCCACCTTTAAATAATCTGAACTTTAACTGATGCTGTACCATCTCTTTTAGGAGAAAGAGGCTGTGCCTTCTGTGGGGGCCTGGGCCATCGTATCACAGACTGCCCCAAGCTGGAAGCCATGCAGACCAAGCAAGTCAGCAACATTGGCCGCAAAGACTATCTGGCACACAGCTCCATGGACTTCTAGATGGATTCTATCTTTTGGCTAGGCATAGGCAAATCAATGAGTGTTTTTTTCTCTAGAAAAGATGCCTTTCATCTTTTCTGAAATAATTCCAGTGTAGTAACAGGCTGATGGGGGACTTTTTCCATTTGGGAATCTTATTGCTTCTGTTGAAAATGTTGATCCTTCCTCAAGGTGAAGTGCTGGGCTTGGCTGTGGTCCCGTCTCCCATATACCCTTCTGTTGTGGGGAGACACTTAATACTACATTTGTGCTGTTTTGGGGCAATCACATCACCTTGGTACCAGAGGTTGGTCATCCTTTAAAGGCATGCCTCATCTTTTTTTAACACCTGCTGTTTGTTTTTAAGCTGTTCAGTACACCATTTCTTGAGGATAGCAGGCCGCTGCTGCAATAGTTTGTTGCATCAGAGGTTGTCACGTGGTGCTGGGCAGACACTGTGCTCCTCAGCAGTTGACCATGAAGAGGATGCAGAGACTCAGTATGTAGTTCATGTTCTACTGCTATAGTTTCTGCTCCCTACAAAAACAGTTTGCATAGTTTTATTTATCCCTTGCCTGGCCCCACCTGTCTATTTCCAGCCATGTTGGGTATCTCTAGCAGCTCTGTTTTGGATGACAGCTTCTGCAGCTGCAGAAGAGGCAATCTTGCCCACTAATGCTTGCTGAGTTAAAAGTCTCCTGGGACAGTCTGTCTCTCTTGGGACTTTTTTGCCTGTTATAACTCTCTGGGTGCTTGCAGGCCCCAAAGAGGAAGTTCGCAGGCAGAGGAAGTTGCCTGCACTATCATACTTACTGACTCATTCCTTGGGCAGCCACAAGAGCTCATCATCTTGGCAGTCTCTGTCGCACTCTTTACTGGGTTGCCAGTTTGGATCTTACTCCTATGGAGCACCCTATGAAAGATGGGATCCTGTATATTCAGCACCCCAAATTTGGGAAGGTAAATGTGGGTATTTAACTGGTAATGGGAAGGCTGATTCTACAGAATCTTAAGGGTAGAGGCGAATGGATTTGTGGCTTTTGTTTGTCTCGTTAAATTCAAGAAGTTTCTTTGTGCTTTCCACTGTTAGGGCCTTGGTCGTACAAGGCGGAGCCTGTAGTGGCTGTGATTATCTGGTATTTATTTTCTATTCTCCTGCTTTGTTGTCATACTGAATTGTGAGTTTACAGCTCTACCTTCTGTTGTCTCTGAATATGATTAAATCCAGTCACAAATAAAATTAAATGTTGTATACATTAAGGAGTGTACCTTAAATGTGTCTGTTGGCAAAATGTGGGATGTTGGCCTGAAGCAATCATTCTGGGTGGAATATGGGCAGGATTACTTTCCTGGGTGTGCCCTTGAATGGACAAACCCAAGACCAGGGTCATTGTCCTGCAGTGGGGAGACTCCGGAAATTAATTTGAGACAGCCGTGTTGAGGTTGGGGGGCGGGGTAGCTTGGCTCTCTCCTTTTCATCCTATTCCCTGCTCTCTTCATTTTTCTTTCTCTTCCCAACTCTGGTGTTGCAACTGCCAACTAATGCAAGTACAATCGAAGTCTTTCCAAAAGTCTTTTTGCTGCAGTTTGGATGGGGAGGCAGCCTTTGAATTGGTGTCTGGCTGTGTGAGGTGGGGAAGTCACGAGTACTGAGACAGAACGGTTCAGTGGTTCTCTCATTTTCAGTCACTTGCCTTATAGGCCATGCCTTACAGATGTCAGATGACACCCCACACTGAGAAGGGGCCGTAGCCTGGCTTTTAATAGCCAAGCATTTCCTGAACATATTCACATGGCTTCAGTGACACTATCTCAGTAAGGCTGGCAACCATCCCAATAAAGCCAAAGTCCATCTAGAAGGGTGAGACCAACTGGGGACTTTCTAGCCTGCATTTTTGGTTACTTCTGTACAACTGTCATATCCGGGAACTAAATTTCAACCCTCTTTTATTCATCTCTGATTGTACTTTGGAGTTTGGGAAATAGCTGCCGGCAAGCAAGACTAAAAGATACTGCTTTCTTGTTTTATTATAATCACTCTGCACATTTGATTTCATGGAAGTGGATGTAGGCTAGAACATGCTGTTACCCCTCCAATGGATGGGGCTCCCAAGCCTCAGTATTATTCCTTCGTACTATTGGAAAAATATTTTTCATACCAAACTCTTCCTTGCCTTTAAAAACACACAGACTCTACATTGTGTTACCTGGAGTTCTGTCAAATTTGGCTGGATTTCATAGCCAGCCGAAATGCTGTTTTTAACAGCTTTCCAATTTCATGCTCTGCAGAAGGAACTAATATGATTTGATGCTTTGGCTTGGCATGGTGTGAACCAAGCTAACTTATTTCTTGAATTAACCATGGTTAAACAACCCACAGCTTCACATAATGGGTGAACTTAGTGTATCCTTTTGATAACTGCTACTCATTGAGGAATTTTACTGGAGGAACACCTATTGGTGTGGGTGAGTATGATGATAATCCCCACCTTCCAAACATTTATACTAGGCTTCCTAAATCTGGTGCTTCCCATCTTGGGCTATATAGCATTTCCATCATTTCCAGACAATTTGCCCATGCTTCTAAAGTCCCTTCCTGCCTCTGATCCTCTCATTCTAAGTTGTTGTATCAGAAATTGGGGGA